CGCCCTCTCTCTGCGAATCCCCATCTGAACTCTGTGCCAGTCTGATTCCATCTCTTCTCCCTCACATCTTTGCCCATCAGTGCTGCTGTGCTCTCATCTCTCCTTCAACTCTTTTCCTCTCTCTTTCTCCACTCATGAGTTGTTTGTGTTGGCAGAAAAAATCCAAACTGCACAGGAGACTTAAACTGGCACAATGTGTGGCTCCCATTCCACCTGAGGCCCCACTGTTCCTCTCCTCCTGTCTCCACTCATCTTCTCTCCTATCACAGTAACCCAAGCTATAAAAATGGTCAAGTGTTTTTTTTTATTTTTTTTTATTTTTTGCACTGGAAGGCTTCGTTTTACTGCTTTTGCTACATCTATAGTAAAAGGTTTAGTACGACATAAGAGTAAAAGGCAAAGTATTGAAAGACACACTTTGAGTTTTCTTTGCATTTTTTATCTTAATAATTATTCTTTCTATGAGACATGAAACAAAGCCACTAACCTTGTGAGATGAAATATTTTTTTCAAGAGCTGCAGCCATAAGACTTATTACTTATGCATAGAAGCAATGTCTTAAAAAACGAATGTGGCCTCAATGTTTCCCTTTTATTTTATCACAACCATGTCGGAACTTTATATTATGTCTCACATATGTATTAAACCTGATCCACACTAATATTTTCCAATTAAAACCAGTGCAACAATCTACCTTCAGTGTTCACTACCATATACAGTATGTTTTTTTTTAATATTGCTTTCAATATAAAAAGAACAAGACAAAAATGCACACACCCTTAATAAAACCTTAAAAGATTTTTCCTTTACATACAGTTCCATTCACTTCATCAATAATATAAAAAAAGAACAGGTGTGTGAATAGTTTTGCTAAACATTGTATTTAAAACAGCCTTAAATATCAAAAGTTCTAGCGGAGTAGATTTTACTGTTATCCAGGTTTCAGTTTAGTGTCCTGCTCTGGGTTTACAGCCCTGCAGGCAAAAGATACAGCTTGGCATTTTCCTGAATTAATTTGGAAAATGGACGTTAGAACAGCTCCTAGACTGTGGCCACCATATGTTTGCAGCCCTCGTGCAGCTGATGTTTCTTAGTTTTTGGCCTCCCCACTACCTATAATGAGAGAGGGAGACTGATTAGTAATGCTCCACAGTTGTGCCAATCAGTCATACCTGGCACTTGTCCCTTAATCACACTAATCAACCTCTTCCTCTGCAGCTGAGAATCATCTACATCCCGCAACCTCGATGTCCAAGCACTCTTCTTTTGGCACGGCTCTGCTTGGACTTGTTTGGACAGTTTTTAGCTGATGTGTGACACAAAGCAGTAGATTACCTTGACCTTCAGGAACAAAACAGCTCTGGCCTTCAATTTTACACATTAGAGGACCAGAGAGGAGAGAGAGAGAATTTTGGAGTGTGAATCCAAGAGCCCCACAAAGGACTGGCCTAATAAATCTCGTTTTATATTTAGAATGCATTAGAAGCATCTCCGTCAGTATATTTATTTTGGTAGTTAATAATTTTATGGAGATACGTAAACGTCACAGTTCTAAAACCCTTATTTATTTTTCATTTTTTGAAGCCTGCATTTCAATTTATTTGGCTTCAGCCTCCATTAAGGCCATTTGACACCTCAAAAAATAACCATTCCTCATTAAACCAAAATAAGCAGCCTACTGCTGGTAACTCCTTTTTTTTTTCTTTTTTTTTTTTAGATGCATAACCAAATGTTTTTGCAGCTGGCTAGATCATAGAAAATTACTCTGAATCATTGGTTGTCAAAGTGGTACAAACCATCTTCCTGGCAAGCAGTACTAACATCCTGTGGCACATCAATCATTTCAGTTTAGCTGGTTTATATGAGAAATGTAATCTCAAGTCAAGCAAATCCAATTTAAGTGCAGAAATATATTGAATTAATCCAATCCTACGGACAGCTTCAAATTAGATGGCGTACATTCCAATTCATTCATAGCTATAATAAGGGGAAGGCAAATTCAGTTCATAATGCCAATCAGAGCCATTTTCAGACACTATAGGGTACCATTGGCGGGTGGGACAACCGATGCCCTAAATGTGCTACTTTCACTTTAAACTAATTACTAAACTAATTACTGTTGTAGAGAAATATGTACAAACAACAGCTATTGATAATTACTATGCCTGTTTGGTGTCATTTACACTTTTTGTAGAAACATGAATATAAGCATGTAGGACTGAAATAATTAATTGAATTAATCGTGATTGATTATCAAAATGATCTTCAAGTCATTTAGTAATTGCTTAATCATTAACTGGAGAATAGCAGCAAAAACATGCCTTTAGCCACTGTTTTAGAGCAGTAATTATATCATAAAAAAGAAATATATATATATATATATATATATATATATATATATATATATATATATATATATATATATATATATCATAATTTTGCATTTAAGATAAAAAACAAACCTTTTTGTTTGTCATTATGCTCTACCCAGACCTCTTCAAGTAAAAACATTTCATTTTTCACCTGGTCTAAATTCTTTAAAACATCTTCAAGGAACCTTTTTTACTATCTGAATTTTAATTCATTCATAGAAGTGACAATTGAGAGATTACTTGATAAGTAAAATGAGTTTTAGTTGCAGCCCTGAAAAACATTACATTGTTTTTCTCAGACTTTTTCCAGCATTTACCATCCGGAGATGATATCTGAAATCAATTTAAGGTAAGAAATTTGCATTGATCAGGCCTTTGATACATTTAGGAAAACAACAAAAATAGAGGTCCAACAATAACATACCTGAAATAAACATCAGCAATCTAGATTCCTGTAAAATTTTGAAAATACTGTATTCAATTCAATTTAGTTTATTTCTATAGTGACAATTCACAACACATGTCAGCTCAAGGGACTTTATAGTTCACCAGATCATACATTCAAATTGAATCAAAGTTTTCTATCTAAGGAAAACCAGTTGATTGCATCAACTCATTGACTAGAATCCCTCACACTAAGCATGATTGTAGCGACAGAAGAGAGGAAAACCTCCCTTTTAACAGGAAGATACCTCCAGCAGATTCAGGCTTAGTGTGAGTGGCCATCTGCCGAGGCCGACTGGGGTTCAAGGAGACAGAAGCAGAGATACAAAAAGCAACTGTAAAAGGCGGCCCCGTCCAGATCTTATCAGATCATATCTCCAGGTTTTCTGGAATCTTTGACAAACCCATGGCTAAATCACATTACATCTGACTGTCAGAGATTTGCTTCCTGAAACTTAATGAGGGAGTCTATAATATGTACAGTTTATTTTTTTCTCCATCCATTTTTTCCGTGACACTTATCCATACTGGGGTCACAAGGGGTGCTGGTGCCTGTCGCCAGCTGTCAATGGGCGAGAGGCGGGGTACACCCTCCACAGGTCGCCAGTCTATCGCAGGGCAACACAGAGACAGAAAAACATTCACGCACACACTCACATCTAAGGAGAATTTAGAGAAGCCAATTAGCCCAACAGTCATGTTGCACAGGGAGAACATACAAACTCCATGCAGAGTCGAGAACCTTCTTACTGCTACCCACTGCCACACTGTGCAGCCCAGTTTTTTTTTTTTTGTCTGTTCTATTTATTGAATGAAAGTTGTACATTTGAAAGTGGTGATACATAGATCATGTGTTGTATTCTCAAATCCTCTCCCAAAGACTACTCAAGCAAGAAGAGCATACTTGTTTTCACTTGTCTTTCACTTTGAACATGTTCAAAGTGGCTACAGATCCCCTTCTGGGTCAATGAGTTAACAAGATGAGTGCTTCTTCCAGGTATTCTGGACTCAGCCAGGATGACTGTGCTGCTGAATTGCAGGTCTAAGTGTGAGGCCAAAACTGTATTGGACATACTCATTTTCGCTTGCATGGAAGTACAACAGCAAGAACACAGTAACATTAACACATAAAGTGAGAGCACTGTGAAGTCTCTTGAGGCAGCACTGTTAATCCTACTGATGATGGCTTGTCTGAACACTGGCCTGAAGAGAGATGAAGCTAATTCTCTTCACAAGAGTAATAAAACCGTGGGTCACCGAGGCTGAGCACGCACACACTTATCCACACAGGCTACAGTTAAAAGACACATAGACACGTTTTTCCTTCCTCCTGGAATTTAGCCCCACACTCTGTGATAATACAATATATCAAGCCTCTCAATGCAATTTTGCTTCATCAAGAGTCTGCTTCAATCCCTTTCTGTAAAAATAGATTGCTAAAGCAATATCTTCGGCTTTGATGGCATTTTACAAACTGATATCGACTATCCAGTTTATTTCAGAGGAATAAAGTTAGAAACGCAATATTGTGTTAAACCTAATATTGTTTTTTTTTATTTTATTTTGTCATGATATATTGCCTGCCACATATATATTTACACTTATCTCTCAGCATAGTTACCATCACATGTCAGAATATATTATCTAAGCCAGAGAAAACAATATTACATTTCTTATTGAAGGTCAGCAGTTCTTCACCTTTTAGCTAACAATGGAAACATGCACACAAGCACTCGGAAACACACCAACATAAACTGATGTCCTCAAAAGAGCTTATATCAACTCTGACATTTTTATACGCACATGCCTGGTGCAAAAAGAGATGGAAATGCATCACTGAACCATTGTTTGTATTTCAAATTCCCAGGAGAACATTGTGACTAGGTGTTCCTGTCAATCTCAGAGGCATTTATGTGTCTAAACGTGTTGAGCAAATCAATTACAATCACAGACAGCTATCAGTAGTCAACATATTCATATAAAAGAATAAAGTTTGACTGTTATTTAAGTGTCATCAGATTGATTTTGAAGGGATCAACAAACAATTTTATCCTTTCCTTGTCTGCATTTTTGTCTGTCATACAGTAGTTCTCTGTGTTGTGCAAAATGAGTAATACGGCAGGGACACAGATTATGAAAAGACTGATAGGTTGCCCTTTGCATTTTTTTGTGTTTCATTGACAGACGGGACTCCCTACACATGGTGGGTTGGCAGAGGCAGTGAGAAACATTTTTACTGGGGCGGATCAGGACCTGGTATCCAAAAGTGTGCCTGTGGCATTGACAAAAACTGCACCAACCCCAAATACGACTGCAACTGTGATGCAGACGGCAAGCAGTGGTAAGTGATTATGACTTTATATCTTTGGTAGGAATCAAATGGACTTCATTCTGGGTTGTTTTTACTTGCTTCAAGAGTTTTCATGTGCTTAAAATCTTTTTAGTAGCAAAAATAGATATTTGAATTGGGCAGTATTAAAAACTCAATGTTTTGTGGACATGAACAGGGATACAGGCCTTTAGGAATTATTACCTGCACCCCTTTCAAAAGGGCGAACAGGGTGTCGCAGTTTCAGATTAAGAGTTAGATTATATACTGGAAGCTTCATATGACCATTCCAAGTATTATCCTCTGACTGGACATCAACATCTGATAAATTGTTAGACATCAATGAAAGTTTTTTTTTTTTTTTTTTTAAGCACCCCTTGGGTTTATAAACTTTTATTTATAAAGAAAAATAAAAAAATTAATATCATGAATACCACTTGATTTAACAACATCCAAAACATTGATTACAGATCTTTGAAAACACTCTTTAAGAAACATGTAAATATATATATATATATATATATATATATATATATATACACATATATATATACACACACACACACACACACACACATACATATATATATATATATATATATATATATATATATATATATATATATAGCAATGTTTTCATCTATCTAGATATACTAAAACAAGATAAACATATTTTAGTTCTCAATGGTTCTGTTGTGTTTGGGGCCACATGGGGATGCAGGGAAGTATTCACGCTAGAACCGCTCTCCTATAGTTGTTCTGATGCAACTTCCTCTCTATATTTTTAGAATTTCACCCACATGAAGTGGTGATAAATGCAAAAAAATTTAAAATAAGCATTTAGAAAAAGTTTGACATTTTTAGAGCACTAGAAATTTACCACAGTAATGAAATACCAAAGGTTTTCCAACATAAGCTTCTCTAGATGTGAACTGATTTTGAATGCTGTGGTAAAACAAAACAAAAGTGAAAACATTTTCAAAAGATACATCCAGAAAAAAAAAATCATCAAGTTTTTTTGATTTTATATATATATTTTCAATCTTGATTATTAAAATTAACAAGTTTGAATTATTTCTCAGAGTATGTACATTGGTCGACGTCATCCTCTTGATGATGTGTCACAATGAAATTTATTTAGGTGCATGAATCTGGCATGTGAACCACTTCAGTTTGACACTGTAATTTATTTCTATAAATTCAAAAATGTGTGATAGTAATAAAGATACTCAGCTAAGACGTCAGGTTAAAATCTATTCATCCGTTTTCTGTACCATCTTTATAAATACAAGTCAGGGTAGTTCCATTTACTATTGGACAAGTTGGTTATATACACCTGTTTTTTTTTTTTTACTGAAAATCTTGCAACTGTAATGTAAGGACATTTAGGTCATAATACCAATTAGTCAAAGCATTTTCTTTTGCAACACCTGTGTACCTGTATTTTAACACACTTGCTTCAGTTGCTTTTATCCCTGAATTTTTTTAATATTAAAGAAAAAGAATAAAAATAAAATAACTAAGTTAAGACTGTTGAAAGCCATCTCACACTCGGTGGAGGGTTCCCTCAACCCTGAAATAGCTCGAAAAATGTGTAAATATGATGATCCTATCTGTCATATCTGCCTTTCGTTACAGAAGTTGCACATTTACATGAACCAAAATTAATAGATCAACTGTGCAACCAAGAAATCCAAAGAAAGATTTAAGCCGCATAGCTAAAAACCAAACTAGGTATTAAAAATTAAATGAACACAAAATAATGCATTTTATTCTCAATGCAGGAGCATTTCTAGAAAAATAGTGGCATCAAAAATCAGTTGACAGATCAGAAATCTATGTGACTGTGTAGCAGAACAGACCTCATGCTTTTTATCTTTCTCTTTTTGCCCCTCAGCTCCAGAGTTTGTGCACGTGTCTGTGCAAGCTGTTTATCTAGAGCCATTATAAATCTATCGAGCATCCACCGTTTGAACTTTGGTGGGTTTCGGGTTTTCTTTTGGTTTATTTTATCAAGCTGCAATGTTTCTTCTCAAATTAACCTATCAGAAATATGTCAAACAGAACATGCAGCTCAAAGTAGCATAGTTAACACACTAACCACAGCATAAGAAGTGCAACATACCTATTATAAACATGAATGCATATTAAATATATAGGGTATGTGCTATAACAGAGGTAGATTGTATTTCATCGTTTAAAGCATCCTGGTTCACTTAACTGTTGCTGTGCTTTACTTAATTTCTATAAGGTTTAAAAGTCCAACATAGAAGATACGCACTGGGAATTGTTGAATCGATGTAGTTTGGAGTTCAGCCTTGTTATGACCGTAGGAAAAGGATGAATCTTTATTCTTGTGGGTTTTTCATTGTTGTTGCTGTTGTTTAAATGGATCTGATGCACCTACTAGAGGGCAACAGGTCAAATAAGGGAGAACAAGCAAGAGGTGCATAGTGTCCCTTTGGATTTGGTTGCTTCTTATTAAGTTCAATAGAATTTTATAGAAACACAAGGAAAGAATATCTGTTTAGTCTCTTTACTAATTAAGATAGAAGTGATCAACTTACTTTTTGTCTCATCTCCAACTGCTAATGGCAATGTCTAAAGGGTTCAGGTAAATTTTATATACTCTAAGGAAGCCCAGGGGGTCAGAGGGTCAGATCTTATTTTGCATTTAGATGTGCCTTTCAGAAATTCATTTGGAATCCAAAAAGGCATTTGAGTAGAATGAGCTCATAGCTACAAAAAACAGTATGTCTCTGAAAGAAGCTCCAAGATGATGGTCAATAGGTTTATAAAAAGATGTACATCGTCATCAGAGATGGGAAGTAACGAAGTACAAATACTTCGTTACTGTACTCAAGTAGATTTTTCTGATATTTTTACTTTACTTTACTACTTATTTTTACGGCGACTTTTTACTTCTACTCCTTACATTTTTACACAAATATCTGTACTTTCTACTCCTTACATTTTAAAAAATTGGCTCGTTACTTTAGTTTTGAATCATTTCAATGGAGTTACCGTTATTATTTTTTGCGTCATCAATACTGTGAAAACGGAGCAGTTTTCCCCCTCTGTTCCCAAAGTGTAGCCGGCGTCTATTATGGCAAGCCAAGAAGGTCATATTTCGCATTGAATTGTCGCGTTAAGATTGAAGTTAACCCGCAAAAAACGCGCGTTCTCCCGAGATTACGCCGCTTTTTACGCCGTCTTTTACCAACAAGCGCCGCCTTTTACGCGCGTCATGAGAGTATCGCAAGACGCGCGTTAAGTACGCGCGTTGTGTCGGTCAGAACGCGCGTTGAATAGCCAGACCAAGAAAGTTCAGCACAGATCTGCTTTGTGGAAAACTGCACAGAGCTCAATGTTGCAGCATTGCCAAAATTCATTGCATTGCCGTTTCACAAAGCCTTAATGTTAGGAATATATCCACTACATACACTTTGCTGTTATTTTGAATCCATTCCATGCCTATTTTCATGTAAAAACGTTTTGCATCAACATGCATCGCCAACCAATGTTTTGTATGTACAGGTATTACTAGGAATGTTTCATCAAGCAATACTACCGAGAGGTGGCGTAGTAGGTTAGGTGACTACCTTCAATGCAAATCTTTTGCTTCGTGGCAGGTTCGAATCCGAAATTTTCCTGTTAATTTAATTTTAACAGCAGTTGCTCCATGGCTGTATAAAGCATTATGGGAAAAGGTTGCTGATATGCAGGAAAATATACAGAAAACAAGTCAGACCGACAAATTTCCTGGAAGACAAGTGTCCCCTCATTTTATTAGTACAATATAAAAAGTTTTTACATGACAGAATGCATGGTGATGGATCAAAAACAGTGAAGTAGGCTACATTTATGATTATATTCTCTGAAAAAAATAAATAAATAAATGGGCTTGGTTGGAGACAAGACAGAATATAAAGGGAAAAGTCGGACTGCCTCTGCCGGATTCGAACCTGCCACGAAGCAAAAGATTTGCATTGAAGGTAGTCACCTAACCTACTACGCCACCTCTCGGTAGTATTGCTTGATGAAACATTCCTAGTAATACCTGTACATACAAAACATTGGTTGGCGATGCATGTTGATGCAAAACGTTTTTACATGAAAATAGGCATGGAATGGATTCAAAATAACAGCAAAGTGTATGTAGTGGATATATTCCTAACATTAAGGCTTTGTGAAACGGCAATGCAGTGAATTTTGGCAATGCTGCAACATTGAGCTCTGTGCAGTTTTCCACAAAGCAGATCTGTGCTGAACTTTCTTGGTCTGGCTGCCTTGATCAGAGATTGGATGCAACCAGTTCAAATGCATTGGCTGTGGGAAAAGAAGGAAGGACATCATTATCATATTAGGAAAACGCGCGTTAAATACGCGCGTTCTGACCGACACAACGCGCGTATTTAATGCGCGTCTTGCGGTTCTATCATGACGCGCGTAAAAGGCGGCGCTTGTTGGTAAAAGACGGCATAAAAGCGGCGTAATCTCGGGAGAACGCGCGTTTTTTGCGGGTTAACTTCAATCTTAACGCGACAATTCAATGCGAAATGTGACCTTCTTGGCTTGCCATAGTCTATCACACACGGCGTCACATCCTTCACTACATTTCCCAGCATGCACCACAGACCGGCCGTCATGGCGGCGGCAGTTCCAAACAATTCACCCGGTAATTTACACTAGTTCCGAAATTACAACGTCACCTTTCATTCAACACTTTACTTACTCACCAGCGTAGCAGACTCTGAAGGTACCCACTGCGACAGCTTTAATATACATTCCGTAGTTGGCAATAAAACTTCCCAGTCAAATTACACATTCTCTTCCCTTAGTCCGTCAGCATACTGGTCCGTGTGGAAACACGTACCGCATCGGAGCCAGTCTCTTATCCACTGTCCCAGGGCATTGGAAAAGACTATTAGGGGGGAGGGGTGTTAAGTGGGATTTCAATGTATGTAATAATTGTTTGCATGGTAATAAGTAGGTGAAATGGTAATGTTAGT